TTTCGATACCAAGTCAAGAATTGCGATTCCGATTCTTTTTAGATACTTTTCTTTTATTATTTTCATGATCAATACAATTGTAATTTATCTGTTAAGTGTTTTCTTACAACATGGTCTCTTCTTTATACTTGAGTGTATGTGAATTCTTTGATAGTTAACTTTATATTTTATTAACATGTAATAGTACAGTAATATAAATAATTATTAACAAAATGTACATTGCAGATGTTAGCCACATTGGTAAGTTAGCTAAAAAGATAGCCATATTAGACAGTTATCATTGCCATTAATTGCCTCGTCAAACTACGAAAACGTTCGCTTGTCACAAAATAAATTACACTTGTTTGACTTAAATTTGAGGGCATGGGCTGAGCATGATGTAATTATGTTATCTATCACATTCGCTAACCTGTCTGTCTTTAAATTCTTTAAACAGCTCTGGATGCCGGTCGGCGGGTGCTTAGCCAAGTCTGATGTGTTGGCTCCCTTGGTTTGCAGGGATCTAAAACATTTCTTACAGACAGGCCTCGTGGTGTCCGTAGGCTTGCCCTCACTGTCAGAGATATAGCTCAAATACTTCCAAATTTAGCTTCTGGCGTCTTTTTTGTCAACAAGCCGAGGCGCAGCGGCAGTTGCACTCCCACTTGCAGCCATGCTTCTCGCTTTCTCACATGCTCTGGCATCTAGCGCGTGCACGAGAGAAGGGAGGGACTTAGAGCGTGCTTGAGAGGGGAGGGACTTAGAGCGTGCTTGAGAGGGGAGGGATTAAAACAGCGCTTTCTCACCGGAGTACTTTTCCCCGTCATTCTTAAAGTACCGATACTAATGAAACGGAGGAATCGTAACGTTTTTAACGGCAGGGTATCGCGGTACCTTTCAAGTACACCGTGCAACACTAATTGGAAGCTTGATTGATTGATTTGGAAAAGGGCAGGCACTTTCAAAAATACTTGGCAGGTGATTGGATCAATCTGTCTATCACCTTCTATCATGGGCCACTTCTGATTGGTTAACAATGGCTGGTACATGTGGAGCACAGCACTTCTGATTGGTGTGGATGACTGACACACAAGAAGATTTTTTTTTTTTAACTACAAAAAAAAAGAATTTAAAAAGAATTCTCAGGCTTTGCGATTTGATAATCGCATCATTTCAATTTCGCATCATTTCAATTTCGATTCAAAATCGATTAATCGTTCAGCCCTAACACACACACACACACACACACACACACACACACACACACACACACACACACACACACACACACACACAGAGACACCCCTACACACAACAAACGGCGCCATCCCTCTGGGAATAATGGTTAATATTGATTATGTATACTGTAGGATTACTATATCTTATTTAAGGCGCTATTTGAGATTGATACATTATTATTACATGTGAAATAATTTATTAAAAAAAAAACTATGAAGCATTCCATCTTTGGAGGTTTATTACTATGGCAAAGAGTGAAGCTTCAAATCATGTGGGTGGAAAATCATTTTGGAAAATCCTCCTAGCTCAAATAGTTGAATAGGAATTTAATTTGCAGTCTCTTGTCTATCTAATGACTCATATGTCCTGTTAGTGGTACGAGCATGTCCACGCCTTGATGGCTCACACTCTCACATACTGGAAACCCTCCTTTGTGGTCTTTGTGGAATGGTCAGTGTGTAGGGGTGTACATTTATGTGTGCAATGCATGTGTAACAGATGGAATGAGAAAAGGGAGACGTGAATAAAAAAGGGAAATGACATTCAACACGTCATCCTCTGCAGTTTTATGTACCCAGTCCATCTGTACTGTACATGTTGTATAAGCAGCCCACAGCCTTCCTCCCCCTCCTCCCTCTCCCTGCCTATCAGTGCAGCCGCGGTTCAAGGACAAGGCCGCCTGCCTGCCTGACCGCATGGTCACATGACCCTCGCACTCTGTTGTTTCTCATGGTGTAGCCCCCCCCTCTGTTTGCCTGAACTGTTGGATAGATGGATGGATGAACGGACGGATGAATATATCACAAACACTAGAGGAATGGATGTGTTTGGGAATGTCGGGGGGAGCCGTGGTTAAATGGGTCAGGTCCTTTCACACAATGGTGGCATTACTGTGGGAGTCTTAGGGGCAGACAAGGGAGGGGGAGGAGGGAGAGAGAGGGGGAACACCCAAGCCCTTTTGCGCCAATTATGAACATAAATAACATCCACACAGAGCTGCCATGGAAATTAGGGTCAAAGGTTTAACTGTGTTTTCTAAAGGTGCAGGCCAACTGAACTGAACGGGGTGAAGGGGGAAGACTGAAGTTCAAACACCAAATTGAAGACCTCATTCAACCTTTATTTTAACTTGGAGATTCATTCAGGTAGAGAGCTCCTTTACAATATATCACACATATATAATAAGTACAGTAAGTGCAGCATAGGTAACAGCCTACAGGGCCAGACTGAAAACCCAACCCGAGTTAAAACGGGGCAAGGGCCTGTGTTGGCCCCTGTGTTTTGTTTAGGTACTGTGTTGGTCCCTGTGTTTTGTTTAGGTACTGTGTTGGTCCCTGTGTTTTGTTTAGGGCCTGTGTTGGCCCCTGTGTTTTGTTTAGGTACTGTGTTGGTCCCTGTGTTTTGTTTAGGTACTGTGTTGGCCCCTGTGTTTTGTTTAGGTACTGTGTTGGCCCCTGTGTTTTGTTTAGGTACTGTGTTGGCCCCTGTGTTTTGTTTAGGTACTGTTACTGAGAAAATATAATATGATCTAGGATGCCGAGCTGGAGGAACTAATGCCACCTGGAGAGTTAAGATTAGTTAATATTTCAAATTTGAGCCTGGTTTAACTTCTTTGCTGGACAACCATGCATTGCTGCATTTACCTGAGCATTCCCTGTAGATCACCACACTCCCAACAATAATGATGGCAAATAACTCTTAACTTAAATGAGTATTCAAAATAATGTTTTCTTTTTCCATTTTCTTTGTTTTTTGTTGATGAAGCAATCAATAGTTTAAAAAAAGATATACCCACTACGAGTTCCAAGAGACCAAGATCTCATATCTTGTTTTGTTTTATCCGTCGTCCAACAAGCAAAGATTTCAATTCATTATTTTTGTATTTATTAAGATGAATAAATGGCTCTCACATTTGAGAAGCCAGAACCTCTAAGCGGTATTGATTGGAAAATGTGTCAAATAATAAATTATTTAAAAAAAGGCACATGTTATTACATTTTTCACCTATAGTTCTTTTTAATAACCACCTATCTTAACAGTTACTTCTTGTTCAAATGACAGTTTGTTTTTTATTTGATATTTGCACAAATGTAAGTATTAGGAAATGGGTCTTCTATGTGTTCAGGCGTGTCTTTTTCCCAACAAATCTACAGCATTGTGCCTGGCCATGTCTAAAACCACCAGACACACTCCGATCAGCTGTCTCCTGCTCTGTGGGCTCAGCACATGCTGCATGGGAGTGTGAACCTGCTGTGTTTAGGAAAGGGGATGACAGTAATGATCATGGTGATGTTGAAGATGATAGGTTAGATGGTTTGGGGATTAGCTGATGATTAAGGGGTGAGGGAATGGAATTATCACAATGGTAGTGTTTAGGGTGGACAGAGGGCATGGTGTGTTATTTAACAAATCTGATAATAAAGGTTGTTGTAAATGATCACCCTGCCACGTGTATGGGAGTTTATGTTTCCTTCCACTGCCACATTGGACTGTGCTCAGCACTCTGCCACAGACAGCTGTACTACCACTGCCTACAGGCAGGCAGGCAGGCAGACAGACACACAGACAGACAGAAGTGTAGCTTCTCCAGCTGGAGGGAAGCAGAGGAAAGCTTTAATTTAGAAGCTGGGGACATGGCAATCTTGGAGTTAAACAAGAACAAATATACCTGAAAACATTGAGGAGTGTCTGTTTGATCTAATAGAAGTACAGTGTGTGATTTATGGAGTAATTAAGATAGAAAAGCTTATACTACAAGTGGAATTAAGCTTAAAGAAAAACCTGTATGATGTAACTGAACAAGAGAATGAGTGAAAGCAAAAGATGCCTGCCTGGCATCGGATGAATCCAGTGTGGCAGGTCAGAGGAGCAGCTAAATACCTGCTTTGCTTCAGCTCTCTGGGATGACCCATCCAGAAGTAATATCCAAAGGTTCAGTCAGTCTTTTGAACCTCAGTCAGTCTCTGCCGGCTGTTTACTCATGCTGCTGTCATAATCTTTGGACATGTAGACCTTTAGGACTCTGGGATGTAGTCGTGCAACAAAGCATATAGCTTGCTGGTAGCCAAACAACTGAAACTGAACAGGATGTGGAGACATTTCAACAATCTTTTTGTTTGCAGAATTTCACGAGTCAATGACATTTTGTTGCATTATACAAGTGTGTCTTTCGCGATGGTTAAATGTGCCGTCATTCAGGAGGTTGTTCTACTATATAGGAATAGAAAGATTCACAATAGAATTCACTATTAAATACACATACATAATAAAAAGTAATATAGGGGCGACCATTTTTGGCTTCAATTCAAATTGGTTATATCGTGTACATAGCTTTTTGTTAAAACATTTGAAACACTTCCCTAGCAACAGTAAGACAACTGCTCTACCTTACATATAGTTATGTCTAAAAAGCCAATTAATGTATTTCAAAAATGGGTTGAGTTTATTCTGATAATTGTTTAAGCTGTACTGTATGCTACACTGCAAGTGTCTTCATTATATTGCATTAAAGAAGTAGGTATTTCTAATATTCTGTGCCTCTCATGGATGTAACATTAGCCCATTCAATATAATGCAGTCCAAACAACACCACAACTTACTACTGCCTAAGAAATACCATGGAGTTTCATGCTTAATCTCTTCAAGAACACATTACACGCTTTTCAAAGACAGTCTTTCTTGCAGGATTATTGTAATAAACTGGATTTTAATATACTGGAAACATGAATTTATAAGTCAGCCTCAATATATTGACCCTTTCCCTCTTGTCTGTTGTGTTGCAGAGTGCAGCGATGGAGGAAACGGTCATATGGGAACAGCACACAGTGACCCTTCACAGGGTAAGTGCTTACAACTCTCTTTTTTCCCCCTTTGTCTTCTTCAGTCTCTGTCTGTCCTGGCATCCCAACCTACAGTATGTCTTTTAGTACTCTTCACTTTTTCCTCCCTGTGCCTCTCTGCCTATACATCTCTCTCCTCTCTGTACTGAGACGTCCAGCTGTAGCAGCAGGATGTGTGGTACTGAAACAATAGTCAAGGAACCCAGATGGCAGGAAACAAGGCTTAGGAAGACAGAATGCAGCACCCACATCCTTACTACTTCATTTCACTTCCTTCCTGTTGGCAACAAAGTCTTCTCCTTAACACAACTCCAGGAAAAGATGAGGATAATGGCTTGAGTCCAAGCCATTATTTAAGTCCTGTTAAAGTCACATGTTATTATGATAGATTTCCCTGGTGTCTGATTACCCCTCATGCACAATCTGCATCATCAGATTACCAGAGATAGGTGATATTATAAATATACTCTTGATCTTGTATCCTGAATGTGATTGGAGACATTAAACTGTAGTTAGCTGTAGTACAGTGGGATTGTATAGAGCACTTGTCTAGACTGGCCTGCTTGCTGTAATCTAATTAGTACGGCTTTATTGGGCTTGAAGGAGCAGCCCGGTGCTGCCTGCGGTTCTCTTGTGCTGTTGTGGTTGTAAGATCAGCCATTAACATCACTTGGCTCGCTCCCTTGGTGCTGGTGTTTGCGCACAGCCCTGAAAACCTCCATGGAAACGTCTTGGAAAACGTATGCATATGCAGAGCTCTGTTGTTTTCTTCAGTACATGTGCCAGTGTTTTAAACCCCATTTCATTATTTTACTCAAACACTGGCTTCACTGGTAATGAATGCTTTTCTGTGTGTGTGTGTGTGTGTGTGTGTGTGTGTGTGTGTGTGTGTGTGTGTGTGTGTGTGTGTGTGTGTGTGTGTGTGTGTGTGTGTGTGTGTGTGTGTGTGTGTGTGTGTGTGTGTGTGTGTGTGTGTGTGTGTGTGTGTGTGTGTGTGTGTGTGTGTGTGTGTGTGTGTGTGTGTGTGTGTGTGTGTGTGTGTGTGTGTGTGTGTGTGTGTGTGTGTGTGTGTGTTGTGTGTGTGTGTGTGTGTGTGTGTGTGTGTGTGTGTGTGTGTGTGTGTGTGTGTGTGTGTGTGTGTGTGTGTGTGTGTGTGTGTGTGTGTGTGTGTGTGTGTGTGTGTGTGTGCCGGCCCCAGGGTTTGGGTTTGGTATTGCCATCTCAGGTGGGCGAGACAACCCTCATTTCCAGAGTGGAGAGACCTCCATTGTGATATCTGATGTGCTGAAAGGAGGTCCTGCTGAGGGACTGCTACAGTAAGTTTGACAATTATAAACTATATGTTTTGGGTTGTAGCTGGAATGTTAGTTTGACATTGGTAAGCTCCTATTAAATATTTCAGATGTATTCTATATAAATGAGTACCACCCTGTTATGAGGTTGGATTAACATCGACCTCTACAGCTATTTGGACATTGTTTATTAACTAAGCTGTTTTTATTGTTTCAGAGAGAATGACCGAGTGGTGATGGTCAATGCTGTCTCTATGGACAACGTGGAGCATGCCTACGCAGTACAGCAGCTCCGAAAGAGCGGGAAAAATGCAAAGATAGTAAGTTTGATTGTAGTGATAGATTTTGTGTGACACTGTGTACATCTGAATGTGCAACTTTTAATGATCCACTAATCGCGTTGACTTCAGATGTGATGGAGACAATAACAATTGCCTCTTTAACACAAAAACATTTCCTATCTATTCAAAGACCATTCGGCGGAAGAGGAAAGTGCAGTTACCTGTTTCTCGGCCAGGGGACAGGGAGACGATGTCAGAGCATGAAGAGGAGGAGAGCGATGAGGAAGATGGCTATGAGCACCACAGTGGACATGGCAGCCAAAGTGCCTACGGAGGAGCGAGCGGAGGCACGGGCACCGGCAGGCGTCCGGATCGTGAGCGGAGCAGCAGCAGCAGGCGGGATCACAGTGCCTCGCGGGAGAGGAGCGCCTCGCGGGAGAGGAGCGCCTCACCTCGCTCCGATCGCCGATCACAAACCTCCTCTGCACCAACCAGGCCTGCCAAGGTCACATTGGTCAAGTCCCGTAAGAATGAAGGTGAGCAACACAATGTTCAACACATGAAGAGTCCCCTCAGCTATAATGGTAATCGGCAATTCTCTGTATATCTGAGTTCCCGTTAGCCGGTAATTACCGTACTATGACCGGTAACATATGCTGAAGACCGGCAAATCTAAATCTGTCCGGTCAAAATAATTTCCCCTTAGCGCAATACCGGATCAGTTGTGCCACTTATGTGACAGACAAGAATAGTATGTGACAGACAAAAGAGTATGTGACAGACAAGAATAGTCAATTCTAATGTCTAACACGTAATGTGGAGAAAGAGATGTCCTGTATGGGTTGATTGTGCGTTGATCTGTTGGTAATGCCTCATGGTTCTGGTGGGCATGTAAACAAATGCATAATGCTGCGCTATACTTTGTGGCCTCACCCGGTTGCATAGCGACACTTATTGTTTAGGTGTCTTTTAATAAGAAGGTAGTCATATCATTAGCTAGAACTAGCTGCATCTGATCGATATGGACATAAACGCGAGTGAAGTCTAATCTGACGGTAGAGAGAGATCAGCTGCTGCTGACGAGTCGACACGCAGCTCTGCATGATCACATGCAGCGGTGAGCGGACAAAACACACACTTCAGGTTAGAATATCACACGTAGCTATTTTAATGACCTCTCAAACTACCTAAACTAGTTATAGATATGTTTAGTTTTACTGTCGGGTCACTCATTACTGATCTGCGAGCTGCATGATACTGACGGACTGTCAGGAGAGGGAGAGAGCGCTCCGTTTATTATTCCTGTGTTATTATAAATGACTGCACACTTTTGAATAATGTAGTTGATCTACTATAATTAGTTTGTTTAATATCGAATCATATCAATTTGTTTTAAAGCTCAAATAAATAACAAAGAAGATCTTTGACTGGCACTTTTCTAATTTTGTCAGGAAGATTGAAACTTTAACGGTCATTTTGACCGGCAAAAAAATATTCTAACGGGAAGTCTGCTGTACATTGTACATTATACTTTCCTATGTATATACAAGTATGTCTATGCTCCTGTAGTGTAAGTATATATTCCTGTTACTAACTGCAGTATTTATGACTTTTTAAGAACATTTTAATTATCCAGATTTTTTTTTTATTGTTAATATTTTATATCATATTTCTCATTTTATTTTTTACTTTTAATTCTCTGTTCCACTTTTTAAGTATTTTTTATTTTATGTCTGAACACACTGATGCTTCTTCTGTAACAAAATAATTTCCCAAATTGTACTTCTCACAGTAAATGTCTATCTTTATTCTTGCTTGTCAACGTAAATGTTAATTGTATTAGCAGAGTACTTTTATACGCCCTGTTAATATGACTTTATGCACATTTGCTCTGAAAGTAGAATACGGACTGCGGTTGGCTAGCCACATCTTTGTGAAGGACATCTCTCCTGAGAGCCTCGCTGCCAGAGACGGAAACATCCAGGAGGGAGACGTTGTACTTAAGGTGAGATATTAAGAGGAGTGTTTGCATGAATGGGCCATTGGTTTTAAAAACACAATATTGGAGAAATGTATTGATACAAATATTATTAGAAGATTACATAAAACATGAATGTGTAAAGAAATACCTCAAACGTTGTCCTTAATAAAAGGAGTGGGCTGGGGTGAGAGAGAAGAATCAGGTTTTACTAAAAACGCTCACTAGTCTGCTGCGGTATTCTGCGAGCGGCTGAAAGTGGGTCGCAGAGCGAGGTCACAGTTCATTAATATGCAGGCTCTCCAGCGGGAATACCAAACATTCTTTCATTCCTTTGAATTTCTATCCAATCAATTTGTGAGGAGCAAAAAAAATCCTCCTCAACGACACAGAGATGCATTCAAAATTAAATGTACTTTAGCAATTGTTTTGAAGAAAGGCAGAGCCATTTGTGTGTGTGACAAAGAACAAGAGAAAGAAAATGCCTGAATAAAGATAATGAAGTTTTGCTTTACACAATATATTTGATAACATTTCTGTGGACTATGTGTGTCTCTGACGGCACTACATTCATTGTAATCTACCTAAACATCATTGTTGTCATTATGACAGAGAACTATTAACAATTCCTCTTTGCCTTGTACACACATCACTCACACATCGCTCACATTGGGGGCTCTACAGAAACATTGTGCCGTGAAGATGACTTTGAGTTCTCATGTCAACCCTCTCCTCTTCCTCCTGTAGATCAATGGAACAGTTACAGAGAACCTTTCACTAATAGATGCCAAGAAGCTGATCGAGAGGTCAAAGGGCAAGTTGAAGATGGTGGTACAGAGAGATGATCGAGCCACGCTGCTCAACATTCCCGACCTTGATGACAGCATCCCATCAGCCAATAATTCGGACAGAGACGGTGAGACTTGTAGTTGTAGCAGTAGTTGGATGCATCTTATTGTATTTTTTTTAACAAAAGACACATCTGTACCAATGCAATGTCTGTGTGCACTTTAAAATAAGTTAAATAATGTTTTTTCCTGTCATTATAACTCTATCTGGATTTGTGTCATTGATTAAATGCAAATACAAATTTCATATTAATTTCACAGACATTTCAGAAATACATTCGCTGACATCAGAGCATTCCAATCGATCGCACGGGCGAGGTCGATCACGCTCGCCTGATCGGGCCGAGCCATCAGACCTTCCCCGTCACTCACCTCGACAGATCAGCAATGGCAGGTAAGAGTAGCACACACACACACACACACACACACACACACACACACACACACACACACACCTGACTGCAAATCAGGTGACAGGACACAACTGTCACACATTCAACATTCATACATCCATAACCCCACCACTCCAACCTCATACATAATTATAGCACCTACGGGTTAGTGGGTGCTGAGTAAGTACCTTTCACCACTAATGCATAAATCAATAGATAAAGACATTGCATGCATAAACCATCACACTCCCTCCAGATCACCGAGTTCCAATAGAGGAGGGATAACTATCCGCCTCCTGGTGGACTGAGGTCTTATTCTTTGTAAGTTATCTAGGTACTTTTGACTATTTTCTGTACAGAAAACAACCTTCAAACTGTTGTGGTTGTCTTAAATCGTGCAACGCTAGTTTTATTTAATATTAAACTAAATGTACTCCTGTTGTAATTACTAATGCAAAGGACCTTAACATTGTTATAATGAATCTTCATTTTATAATGCAAGTACAATCGATGCAAGTCCCTTCCATAGCTACATCCTGCATATACTGTACACATGATGTGCTGTTGATTTAGATCATTGTAATGTCCATAATGTCTCTTTGTCTCCTCTTTTCTTACTGCCAGTTGGAGCTTCCAGTAAGTTTGTTCTCTCGTAGTTTAGTAGTGTCATAGCTCTTTGTAGCAGACGAGCACATAGATGTCATAGGAGTGTTAGAGGAAGTCCTGCCAGTCACTATAGTTTCTCTCAGCTTAAGCATTGTATGCTAATAGGGCAACTAACCTTGGCAAACATGGGACAGGGGGAGGGACACAGGCTTGGAACCTTTTTCAGCAGACCCATGGCTGCCATGAGAAAAGACTGAAGCTGTTGCTGGTTTCTGATCATAGTAAATGGCTATGTGTGATGCTGTGAAGCAGGGGTTTCTATTAAACCAGGGGCTCAAATCTCTGCAGCCTTTAAGCTTTAGTCCTGAGTTGAATCGTCAGATTCTCTTACAACCAGACCTCCATTTTCTGATATTCATATTGGACTTGAGTTGCAGACAGAGCAGGCTGTCATACTCCAAAACAAACCCATTGCTTATCAAATAGTGGCTTTAAGTCTGTGATGTTGATGTGATCGAGGTCTGACCAAGTGAGATATGGGGGCCAAACCTGCTGTTAGTAACACATTCTCTTCCTGAAAGCCAAAGTGCCTCATTAGAACGAGTACTCAAAAGTAACGTCTAGCTGAAAACCTGTAGACCTATTTACATATAGTCAGTGTTTCCCACACAATGCACCGCACCTTATTTAATTGTGGCGGCCCGCCACAAATGAATCAATGTATGGGAAACACTGCGAGTATACAAAAGTAACGTCTAGCTGAAAACCTGTAACCTATTTACATATAGTACTAGGACCCATATAGCTGTCGTAGCTGTGTGATGTTTTGAACTACTCTGCTGCTAGTTTACTTTTCTAGCTTACTAGTTGCTTGTCAGTCATAACATACAGCTAGATTAACATCCAGTGCCTTTTCCTTAGATATCACATTGTGTCGGAGTGTGTAACCTTGCTTGTTTTAATGCAGGTTCAGGGCAGGTTCACTGTTGAACAGATTCCTTCCAATGTAAGTGAATGCATCGCTCTGATACTAGGCCAGTGTGTGTTTGTTCTGAGTATTTATGTGATACTTCTCTTGCTCTTTCCCTGACCCCTCTTTTATATTTGTGCACCGCATCTCCTGTTTGTTCAGAAGCAGTCAAAGCAAATATTACGTCATTTTATTTGTGTATACTACGGCACATTTAGTTTGACTGGTTTATCTGGTGAGCACGTGAGTTTTTCAGAGGAGGAGTTACACCTGCTTCTCAGGTGTTTGTGGTTGAAGAAGTTACTGAGGGAATACCAGTCTGACACTCACATCGCTGTAATGTCGGGGATGTTTTCATTATCTACCAGTTTAGGAGGGGAATTTGACATACTTCCCACAGTGCTTTGCCCCAAGCCAGATGGTTCGCTTAACCTGATTGGCTGTAGGGCTTAGAGGCATTATTCTCCCGACGCTGTAGAATGTTTTTGAATACAACATATTATCAAAAACGCCCTTCTCTCACAGCGTCTCTCAGTGAGCATGAGTGTACATTGCACATAGGATCTGTCTTTCAAGCAATTTAACTCACTTATTTAGCGCCATGGTTCAACTGACAGACAAGTATATGTGAGTAATTTCTGCTTTATAATACGTTTTTGTCTTATTATTGATATGTAATGTTGTTGTAATGTTAGTTTTCAACACTAGGATATTGCTATTGCACATTTTGTCTGTTTTGCAAAGAGTCTCAGTTTATCTCGCCCATTTTGTTCAAATATTTTGGAGCTTGTTGATTGATAAAGAGTCTGCGACCGTTATGCAGTGTTGATATTCTGGTGCGGCCGGACTCTACTTTACATAGTGTGTTGATGTCCATGTCTCCTTCACTTGTTTTGTCTCTCTCTTCCTTGCTTGCTCTTGCCTGTACCCACACTTTAAGAATGTGTAAAGGAGGGGATTGAACAAAGGCTTCTGTCAAATGGCGTTTGTCACTGTGAACCCTTATTTAGCGTCATTCTGTAGCAAAGAACAACAGATTGAGGCCACAACACACTCCCTCACTCCTCTCCCTCTGTCTGTCCCTCTTTCTGTCCCTTGCTCTGTTGTCCCTCTCTTTTCCCCCTCTCACACTCTCTTTCTCATTCATCCTTTACAAAAACACACTCTGTGTTTCTCTCTATCTCTGCGATTACAATTCTGTCATATCTCTCATTTGCCCTTTTCTCCCCACAAAAACTTCCACAGAGAACTCTCTGATGCCGAGTCTGCTGACATTTAATTGCACGGATAATTTTGATGTGTAAAACTGATTGTTAGTGAGAGAAGTTGTGGACCTAGAAAAGTCCATGCTGTGTTGAGAAAATAGTGATAAAGTGAAACCTTTGTGTGTAAAAAGATATACATGTGCTGTTTTTGACTTTTACTGATTCATTATAGGGGACTTCAGTGTACTGTGAACTTTCCTACACTGTATATGTTCACACTGTATGAGCAAAAGTGGGAGAATGGGAGAAGTTGCTCAGTCTGAGGCGGTGGCACAGCCTGCACCTTAACATTCTTCCACAAAAGCTCCTAAATGCAGCTCAAGTACTGTGCCAGCAGGCAGTCATGTGACCAGAATGGAATTCAACCATTGTTTTAAGCAGCAGAGCCCTTTCTTCTCCGACAGACTTAGCCTGCAAGACTCTCTCTCACTCTCTCACATGCACACACACATGCACCCAGTTTCCCCTTGTTTATTTTATCCAGGTTAAACAGGAACTTGGACATAAAAAGTATCCTTACTCAAGAGTTTATGTTGGAAGACTGGGTTTGATTTTTCTTTCTCTGGCTGTTTGCTTTTATTGGAATGGTTGATAAAAGGGAGGTTACATCAATCTTCCAAAAGATGTTCACTGAGATATTAAAACCCTGTCTGCTCCATCTCAGTTTCTGGTTGTGAATGTGCTTTGCCATTGACATACAGCATAGATTACACAATTAAACTGCCTCGTCGTTTTCACAGAGCGTCACATCCTTCTTTTAATAGCTCATTGTCTTCACATTCAAAATCTGGTCCACATGCTCCTTCACGTCATGTTATTTCCTTTTAGCGTTGTGTCTGTATTTCTCTGGTGATGTCAGCACAGGAACAAACGATATGAACACAACAACATTATTACACACACTGAAATCAGCAAAGATGTTGCAGGCATTTGAGGAACTCCTTAATGGAAACCATTTTCTTTTTTACAGCATTGACAATCCTATAGAACTGAATTTGTAATTGTTATTTTTGCCTTTTTCAGCCATCGGAGTCGAGATGAGGATCGCATCTCCAAACCAGGGTCCATGTCCACACTCGTCAAAAGCTCCGATGATGGCGTCTTGTCTCAGGCCAGCGACCAGGCCAGCTCCAGAGATGACAAACTGTTACCTCCGCTGCCGGGTACAGAAACCCCTGCCCCCCCCAGCCCTCAGTTTGAGGGATTAGTGTTGTTTCTCTTGGTTGTCTCAGCTTTCACCACCTTTCTATATTTGTACACTTCATTGGGTTCTACTTGTATCTATTGTCATTGTGCAACACAGGTTTACGCCACAAATACTGTTTTGGAAATTGTTTACAGATTGAGCTTTATTCTTTCACTTTTGAAATATGTTTTACTATAACCCAGCACTTGGATAGCAGTTGTTAATTTACAAGTGTGTTAAAACCAATGCTGTTCTGCAAAGAGTGCAGGACTAAATAATAACTATGTTTGTATTTATGTTTCAGAACCAAAGCCAGTTTATGCACAGCCTGGGCAGCCTGACGTGGACCTGCCTGTCAGCCCCTCTGACGCCCCCGTGCCCAGCGCCGCTCATGATGAGAGCATCCTCAGGTCCCAGATGCTCTCACTTTAGATTTGACTTAAAAGCTGGTCTATTGTTGATTTAATCCAGGGTGTGCTAACCTTTTTAATTCTATGTGTTGTCCTGCAGGCCGAGTATGAAACTGGTGAAGTTCAAGAAGGGAGAGAGTGTTGGTCTGCGGTTAGCAGGAGGAAACGACGTGGGAATCTTTGTTGCAGGTGTTCTGGAGGACAGTCCTGCAGCCAAGGAGGGGCTGGAGGAGGGAGACCAGATCCTCAGGGTACGCTAAACTCCATCTATCAAACAAAACAGCTATTGTTGGCCTTGTCAAGTAACATGTATACAGATTTTGTGTGTGTGTGTGTGTGTGTGTGTGTGTGTGTGTGTGTGTGTGTGTGTGTGTGTGTGTGTGTGTGTGTGTGTGTGTGTGTGTGTGTGTGTGTGTGTGTGTGTGTGTGTGTGTGTGTGTGTGTGTGTGTGGTGTGTGTGTGTGTGTGTGTGTGTGTGTGTGTGTGTGTGTGTGTGTGTGTGTGTGTGTGTGTGTGTGTGTGTGTGTGTGTGTGTGTGTGTGTGTGTGTGTGTGTGTGTGTGTGTGTGTGTGTGTGTGTGTGTATTTCATAGTGGAAGAATATCACAAAGGAAAGTTCATCAGTTGTCGCTTAGAGTTAGTTAAAAATAACTGAACAGTGTAGTAAAAATAAATCTGGATTAATTTAATTAAAGTTTGCTGAAGTGAATTTTTTTTCAAATTCTGTAAAAGCTATCCTGTAATTGCATCTGTCAAAGCGCTCTGATATAAACTAAAAACTCCTCTGCCTACACTGTCATTTATCAAATATGTCAGCCCTATTTAAATCAATTGACAGTGTTCGGGTAATAAGGAAGAATTCTGTTGCTACACACATATTACACAGTAACCATGGGTGTGTAAATGTGTTCTATAATTTCCTCGTTTAACCAGAATTCCCTCAATAACTTCTACATTTTGTAAACATAGTGTATGTGTTCATTCTAAAAGTCACAAGCAGATATAAAGCTTAACTGTGGCTAAAGACCAGGTCCCGGGCGTTTTTTTGTTGTTGAAACTATTACCTTTGATTCTTTTTTCCCATTTCTCATGTATGAGTAAGAAGAACATCTGGTGTTATTGTGGGAATAGATGAGCAGTAGCAGCCCACACTAACTTAGCTAATCAGTGGTGAAGCTATGTGACCCAATGGCCACAATGGTTGTATTTCTGTGTGAAGAGATCTTGGGAATACAGCTCAATGTATTCGTCAGTCCATGAGTCATTCCAGGCTGTGCCTCGTGTCAAAACCCCCCTTGTTTTCAATGTGAAGACACAATAGAGGTCGTTCTTGCACTCTGACCTCAGAACAGTTGACTTTCTGTCTCACTGAACACTAGAGTAACATTGTTGATGCGATGATGGAAACCTCTTAATGTCAGAGATCCATTCTGACATGTTTGTACAACAACGCAGCATTTCACCTGCTTTGTATAATGCTGTGTAGCTCTGTAGTGTAGTGTACTGCTCAGATGAGGCTGTATACGTAGCTACACATGTCATAAACATTTAAGGACTGCTTTATTCTGACAGACTAAGCTGTTTGTTACTGTATCTCCTCCTTCTCTTAATGAGTGAATCTTGTGTTCCTTTAATTCCACAGCATAGATTTCTTTCTGTGCCTGTGTGTGCCTGTGTGTGTGTGTTCTCTGCACTGTACAAACAGACATTGGAGACTTCCAGGACATTGTTTTCCATCTTTAGATGGTTTCCCTTTGGTCACGGTGTGCTCGTGGAGATAAAGACGTCAAGCTCGTCTGTTTCTGGGAAGGATAAAAGTGTCTTTCTGAGGTTCAGTGATTCAGTCCATGTGTTTCTGGTTCCCCTGCTGCCCCTCAAGCAGAGTCAATAAACAGCAGTTATTGTGTTTGGGACAGCAGCAGGAGGTGAGGAGGAGGAGGCTGCTCCCTTGTAGGGGGAATACATCGGCCTGCTTCTGTTGGAACAACTAGTTTTTCTTTTCCTGTGTTCCTATTCTGTGAGAAATCCAAAAAGTATTCACTGCTAAAGTTTTTATCTTTGGCAACTAATTAAAAAAAGGAAGCTGTTTAATGTGGAAAAACAGTGGGGGAGAATGATATCATTTAGTAGCTTTCAACCACTGTGAAGCATTTTACAGTTTTCTTTCAAACTTGGTAGGGTAAAGTTGGCATGCTATAACACAAGAATAAGAGTTTACTTTGCTTCTTTGTATGATGGTCCATAATGCAAATGAATAACGTGTACGTCTTCTGTTATGCATCTGAAGGTGAACAATGTGGACTTTGCTAACATAATCCGGGAGGAGGCTGTGCTGTTTCTGCTGGATCTCCCAAAAGGAGAAGAAGTGACTATATTGGCCCAGAAGAAGAAGGATGGTGAGTGGCCACAGTATTAATGACGTTGTTAGTTGTGAAAAAACATCACCAGACATCAAAGGCAGAACATTTATAAGGTGGATTAATCATCCATGTCATTTGCTCTCTCTTCAGTGTACCGCAGGATAGTGGAATCGGACGTGGGTGACTCCTTCTACATTCGGACCCATTTTGAATATGAAAAAGAGTCACCGTACGGGCTGAGCTTCAACAAGGGCGAGGTGTTCCGTGTAGTAGATACGCTCTACAATGGCAAACTAGGCTCCTGGCTCGCTATCCGTATTGGCAAGAACCATCAGGAAGTGGAGAGGGGAATCATCCCCAACAAGAACAGGTACACTACGCTTTAGGTCGCACCTTTAAATCCTGTAGAGCGTGTCCTGGCACTTTATGAATGGGCAAGGGAGGTACAGAAATAGATACACTCATCAGTGAGTAGCAAGGAAGGATTCAGGAGCACATACAAATGAGATTTTACACATTTATGATGATTTGTGGAAGTGTTTTAAAACTGGTCGTATTGAACAGATCCTGTATGTCAGGTTAATGCTTTTATAAGGACTAGTGTGTGAGGTTTTTGAAGGCTTTCTGTGTGTGTGAGGATATGAAGTATAGATCATCATGTCTCCACAGCCTTCAGCAGCTGCTCACAGTGTTTACACACAGATTCCTCAAAGTCCTAGATTTCCACGTGTTGCATGCTTTTATATCTCGTACAAAAGCCTTGTGCAATATTTCCAGCTTCTCAGCCAAGATAGATTTGCCTCCCTGGATATTCTTTCAAAACAAAGATCCTTAAAGTAACAGCAAGAACTCAAAAATATTGTTTTAAATGATGCAACATATCGTTGCTCAATAATAATAAAATCCAATAAACACGAGTTATTCTCCAAGCTAGCCAATGTGTCAGGCCAGAGATTTCACTGCAGACTCTTGCCTTAAGTTCTATCAAACATGAACCAATCGGAGCAACGCTGAACTGTGTAAATAACACTTATCTGTGTTAACATCTTGGGAAAATAACCAATGCAAAGTTCTGAGTTTACTGACATCATAATGCTGACCCTGTCATTCTGCTATTCACAGACAAATCATTAAGTCGTGTGATATTTTAGCACTTTGTGACGTCACTTTTGAGCTATATATTAGATTGTACTAGCCCTCAAGACACAATACCAATTAGCCTAAATATATAATGGCTTTTAAGAATGTAGTCAGCATTTCTTTGGTCAATGATGGCAACTACTCAATAATCAGTTTGACAACCATTAACAATGCAGTAGTGTACAATGGTATGTCATTGGCAGCATCTTGTTTATTTCTGTCTAAACAGTAGTCAGCCCGAGAAATAGTCTCAAAGTGGCCTTTATGGCAGTTTAACTGAATTTCACAGCTGACCCTACTCATACTGATACACCGTATTCATCATCTCTCTGTCCAGAGCGGAGCAGCTGTCCAGTGTGCAGTACACCCTCCCCAAAACGCCAGGAGGGGACAGGGCTGACTTCTGGAGATTCAGAGGACTGCGAAGCTCCAAGAGGAATTTGCGGAAGAGCAGGGAGGACCTGTCAGCCCAGCCCGTCCAGAGCAAGTTCCCTGCCTACGAGAGGGTGGTGCTGAGGGAAGGTAAGAGTACATCGAGGAAGACTTTAGGCGCACTCAACTCCCAAATATTTTCAAACTTTAATTTAGGGAGAATTTACAAAAACACAAGACCCTTTACAGCCCTTTAACAAAGCGGCGTTTTCATACCTCTAAGCATTACAAAGTTACTCATTTGAACAACGCTGATTGTGATGTGATCCAGATGTATGAGGATGAAGTATTGTGCCTGTGAGTGTTCCATGATGCTGATTTGCTTGTGTGCAGCTGGGTTCCTGAGGCCTGTGGTTCTCTTTGGGCCAATCGCAGACGTGGCCAGAGAGAAACTGGCCAGGGAGGAGCCAGACATCTTTGAACTAGCAAGTAAGTGATAAAGTACACATCACCGTCTCTTCCAATGTTGATGTGTTGAAAAGGGTCCCACTTGTGTCTTACAAAGATAGGAGACCTCACTCTTAGTGTACACATCACACATGTCTAAAGCTGAATGCTGTTGTCAGCATTCAGCAAATGTTCACCGTAGTGGTCAGTATCTGATAAATATGCACCCCACATTTTTTATAGCAAACTGAGGTCTACACACCTCTGAACAACCTTATGAAGTCTGGGAGATTTTGGAGATCAGAATAAGAAGGAGTTATTATAAACTGAATGATTGTAGGTGAACAAATACAGGAACAACAACATACTGTTGAAAGTTGACTAATCGACTTGAAATTAAGTCATTCACCATAAAAAAAGATAGAGACTCATATCTCAAGAATTCTGAGTCGGATAAGACGAGGGGCCAGCACTTGTTATAAAAGTTACATTGTTGGTGTTTTCCCCCCATGTAGTCTTTAGTAGTGTATATAGACTGCTGTTGGCTGTTAAAATATTTAGTACAAAGTCAAGCAATTCTTTATTTTTTTAAGATGGTAATCTGCTTTACTCCAGAATATGCTACAAATACTACTACTACATATTCCTTATTTATTTTAGTAGGTCAGGTTAGTCAGGTTGTGTCTCCTGTGTCCTGCTATTTAAAACATCTTCCTTAATCTCTGTTTATTTTACACACTCCTCTACACACCACCCAGAGCCACACACACTTTCTCCTCTCAGTCCTCATCCACTGCCTCTTACTTCATGAAATTGCAACCCTCCTTAATGTATGGTATTTATTTTAACACTCAGTATTGAATTTCAATGACTTTAAGTGCACAGCCACACAAGGCAGTGCACGTACACACACATAATCAGCACACACCCACACACAGTGATTCCATTCATTGATGTGTATTCCCGCCACTCCAGTGATGTTTGTGTAACTGTACTTTCTTTTCAGAATCACAACAACAACAAGGAGGGGAAAGTATGTCACATAGTGCATCAACTTTTATTTGTTTCATTGATTTAGTGAATGAGAGATAATCTGGTGTTTGGTGGCTATCTAGATAGGCATATAGAGGTTTAAACAATGTGCATGGGGGAATAGCACTTGATTTAGGAAGTCACATTTAGTCACTGCAATTGGTTATAACAATTACTTTGTTATATATTAGCATGACTATAAAGTAAATTGCTGACCTGACACTGAATATATGCAATATCATACAGTTCATATATTATTCTTGGGGGAAAGAAATCTACAATTAATATTTTAAAAACTAAATAAAAACACATCTATTAAAGATTGTCAGCAGCAGTAGCATAGATCACCTTTTGCACATCCTTACACACTTAGACTTGTTCTACTTCTGATAATGTTTTGCTCCTTAGAGACTTACATTTGCATTCTTAAAAGTAAAAAATACTTTTAAGAATGCAAATGTAAGTCTCTAAGGAGCTGCTTGTTATTGTGATATTACATGTTGATAATGGAAGGGACTGCCGTATCCTTTAATAGACACAGTAGTCATTTTAAGGTTAAAGTCAGTGTTATTCCCCTCTTAATGGCATCATGTAGGGAGACAACAACAACAACAACAAGGCAGCATGTAAAGCTCTGCGTTTAATTTGCAATAAAACCTGAGATGTGAGTTTTTGCTTTTTAACAGAATCATAACAAAATCATCAAATGTAAAATTGACTAAGAATGTTATGTTTATCTGTAGTTCAAAATGTGTTGACATATTGTCATGCTTTTCATACTTATTATTTGCCAATGAAACATTACATGCAATAATAATTACACATAATAATACTATTATAAAATAATCAAGTATCTCAGCAGTGGGATCAAAATATAAGCTGTTTAGAAGTTTATATCCTAAATAAGTCTGACTACACTATGCATTCAGACACATTATCCATACAGTAAATATATTGGATATGAAGTTCATGCACATGCTGGAACAAAGGTGTATCAGAATGACATGTGATTTTTGAAATGGCTTACACTCAACTGCAATCAAACCACCACTTTAATGTTAATCTACAAAAGCACATTATACAAAGCTGACAGTGGTGTGTTTCTGTGCGTGTGATGCAGTGATTGCATAAAAGCCCCTGAGTGTAAATGGAAGGACTTTTCAAAGATTGGTCTTTCAAATGTTGTGTATTCTCAGAAATTGAATCCCAACACATTATTTTAACATTGCTGTACACGCTTGATTCTTGACTTGTTGCATGGATATATATATCTGCCCTCTCTAAAATGTTAATAGCTGTGTAAGATCATAGATTGTATTAGAAATTAGAAATGTATTCTAGCCTGTGATGTGTTGTTGTTGTTATTATTATTCTACCCCCTGTTGACATATCTCCTTCTTCTGAACCTGTGTGTCGAGGCAGGAAACCATTGCTTATCCTTTTGTGAATCATAAACCCCTGTACACATCCTTGCCTAAATCCCTGAGGCTTACAATGACAGTGTATTCTCATTAATCCTGAAATGACCCTCATGCTCTTGTATGTGCATATTTCACGTCGGTGTTTCTCACATAACACATTTACCGAACAATAATGTACCGTTACATGCAGTCGCACGCACACATTCATTTAACACTGAATTTAATTTCCCCAAACCTAACCAAAATACAGAATGACTATTGCATGAATTGGCTGCTCTCCTCATTTTTCTTTACTATCTAGCTTTTTTCACACACGTCCACTTGTCCTCTCCCATACGGAGATTTTGATTCAGTTTGTAACGGCTCTATTTATGGGAGTCGACAACTGCACGCTGCGAGGATGTCTAATTGGGGCACAGCTTGGTTTTATTGTTGTTCTCTCTTGTGTTGACATGATGCAGTAACTCTGTCCATTTGTCTTCCATAGAGAGTGAACCCAGGGATGCAGGAACCGACCAGAAGAACTCCGGCATCATTCGCCTGCACACTATCAAACAGATCATTGACCGGGTGAGAAACTAGATATGCTGATGACATGTAGACATGAACATCTTTTTACAGATTTGTTATGATAATGAAAAGATGGCTGCGAGCCACGATGACTGGCACGGCTCACTGCTGCCCTCTGGTGTCCGTACTGCATCCTTGTGAACTATAGGGTTGCAGGTTCACTTTAAATCCAGACTGATGAGCTGACTTCTTACAATGGTTCAAGATCTGATGCACCCAATATGTAAAAACATCTTTAGGTTTTTTTATTTATTTCTTTATTAAGGAGTGCAGATTTAACAGACAATACAACTATTTTTCACATTTCCTGGTTTTGGTTTTCTTATTACAGGAAATTGCACTACTCTCTCTCATTTGTTACATATAAGAAAACAAACATAATCCCCCCACCCTCACAAGAACTGGAAAATTGGTCACATCATTGTATTTCTTTATCATCCTGATACATTTCACATGATAGTATCATGTGAATATCATGTATCTCTGATCGTCCTGTCCCTACATTTCAATAAAGGAAGTGCTCACAAAATGGAAACAAACTCATTTATGTTTTTGTTCTTTTTGTTTTCTGTGTTTTTAGGACAAGCATGCGGTGCTGGACATCACCCCTAACGCAGTGGACCGCCTGAACTACGCTCAGTGGTATCCCATTGTGGTGTTCCTCAACCCCGACACCAAGCAGGGCGTCAAGCACATGAGGACCCGCCTCTGCCCCGAGTCTCGGAAGAGCGCCAGGAAGCTCTTTGAGCGATCCCACAAATTAAGAAAGAACAACCACCACCTCTTCACCAGTGAGTCCAGCGGGAAAGAGGGGATGGGGGGGGATTGGGGCTCCAAACAAAAGGAGGGGTGTGGTGGAGATTTCACAGCCAGCATTGACACTTTTCAAAAGGCAGTTGACAATTGAGTTTCGCAGCGTTAGAGGCTGTGGCTCCGCTGCCTGGCCCTATTCTGTCAGATTCCTAACAAACGCTGGTTCAGCACTGACTGTCACACAAGCGCACCCCCAGGGCCCGTCCTCAAAATGTCTCTCTGTCAGGAGAGGTGGTGTGACCATGCTTTAGAAGCATCTGTGGGTGAAACAGATATTAGAGAATCCCTAGAGAGTTTTCTTTAATGTTTTTTTAACATTAACTTCACATAATCAACTTTCCCATAACTATAATGCAACAAGCTGCAATGTAACCTCAACACCCATATCCTTGAAAGTTATTTTCAGATCCAAGTCTCATAATAATGTTATACTGTCTGTACTTTATATAGAACTAGTGAAGAGAGAAAGCTGGGATATTTTTTACATTTATCAAAAATACATTTACTAATTGATTTGGACCTGGAGAAACTGGGACGTTTTATAAAAGCCCATAAAAGCACAATTTGTTTAGTGATCACTTTGATGAAGAAGATAATTGTGTACAGTTCATGTCTCAAATGAACTTTTTAATTATGAAGCTGCTGTTGCTGTACTTCATTGTCAATTGAAAATATGTTGAGAGATGTGTGTTTCTCCTCTGTCTGTATTCAGCTACCATTAACCTGAACAACATGAATGATGGTTGGTTTGGAGCTCTGAAGGAGATCATCCAGCAGCAGCAGAACCAGCTGGTGTGGGTTTCAGAGGGCAAGGTAAGACCAACACACACAAACCATGTAGACTGGAAATGTAGACAATTGTATTTCATTTACATAAAACTCTAAAACAAAACAGGATTTGCACCAAGCTGCTTCACAAAGACAGATGTATATGCATATGCATACATACACGAGCAAAGACGTTGTTGAAATGTAACAAAATCAAATCTGTTTGTACACAGAAAAACATAGAGATTCAAACTGTCAACAGACTCATTCTTGATGTGACCCCCTTTCTCTCTCTCCTTTTGTTTCCAGGCTGACGGGGCAGCTGAGGATGACCTGGATATCCATGACGACCGCCTGTCCTACCTGTCTGCACCAGGCAGCGAGTACTCCATGTACAGCACCGACAGCCGCCACACCTCTGACTACGAGGACACGGACACAGAGGGCGGGGCCTACACCGACCAGGAGCTGGACGAGACGCTGAACGACGACGTGGGTCCGCCCGCCGAGCCGGCCATCACCCGCTCCTCCGAACCTGTCCGCGACGACCCCCCGGTGATCCAGGAGCCCCCCGGCTACGCCAGCTTCCACACCGTGCAGCCGACCCCCCTGAAACCGCATCGACCCGGCAGGATTCAAGGCTCCGGTTCCGCAGCAGGTAGCGTTTCTGAGAGCCGCACGTCTTCCCTGTTGTCTGGAGGACGTGGTTTGCGTTAGAAGGGTTTTCTGGAGGCGCTATTGAAGGCACTTTTTCAATTTTACAGTTATTCTGTATCTACTGTTACCAAACAATATTAAAACTTCTGTGGTCAGGTATTTATCACAATATATAAATATTATATATAATATATATACATCTATATTTATGATATTATTTATTTTATCTATTTGCCTATATGTGTTTGTAAATTGATCTTTGTTAGCGTGTGTTTTTTTATTTTTGAAAAGGAGATAAGTTTTACTGTTACTATTGTATTCTGTATTACCACAAGATGTCTTATCGGTGTGACTGTTGCTTATGCCTCTGGGAAAAGAAACATATGTTTGTCTGTACCAGTACTCACCTATGTGCACTTCCTACCCTTGTTTTACCTGTGATCGGGACTGTGACGAAACAACAAGACAAAGTATTATGTGCATGTTGGAATTACCAGTGTTAATCCAGTGTACCTGTGAAATGTATTAATCAACACCCGTTTGTCGTCTAATGATGTGTTGATGAATATAAAAGGGGTAAACAAAAGAAGCCACTGTATTGTAACCGTAGAATTAAAATCGAATTAGTATACTCTAACAATGAAAACTTGTCCTGCTGCTAATTCCTAACTCTCGCATGACATTGGTTGACCTACAGCTATTGTTTAATGTGGAGGTGGGTGATTGGCAGATTGGTGTAAGTGAGCAGCAGAGCGATATAGAATGCTGTGACGCTAGTAGCATTTGTTAGTATTGTACCGTAGTGTCAGCACGTGTTATTAAACATTTCTGAACCACTTCACAGAAAGCAGAGGCCGCTGCCGTCCCTAGCGTCCCCCCGCAGCCTGAGCCCCTGGCTGAGACTTTGCCCCCTGCTGTCGACGTTACTGTAAAAACTGTAGGGGGGGTGAGCCCTGACGAGGCTCCTGCAGCTCCTGTCAGCCCGCCAAGCCCCGACCCAGAGGCGGGCTCACTTAGGATGCCCACCCCTGAGCTAGCCCCTCAGAGCGTCTCACCAGAGCCTCTACAGTCTGGACTGGCCGGTTCAGAAACAAAGGTATCCATGTTCCCCCCCCGGACGCTCCGTGGCCCGGCTCGGCTCAGCCGCTCAGACCTCCTGCTGCTGCTGCTGCTGCCTGTCCTCCTCTTCCTCCTCTGCTGCCACGCTTCTCTCTCTCTCTCTCCTTCCGCCCTGCATGTCCGCTGACCAAAGTGCTGCCCAGAAGAGACAGAGATGTGTGTGTGTGTGTGTGTTGTGTGTGTGTGTGTGTGTGTGTGTGTGTGTGGGCGTAATTGTGCGTGTGTTTGTGTGTGCATGTGCCGGAGTAAATGCTGGTAAACAACAGTGGGCTTGGAGGTGAGGCTGCGCTGACATGCCTACATGTGTGGGAGCAGAATCCTGATGCTCTCACTGTTGCTTATCCTCTCTGCATGGCTGCAATACGTTTGCCTTTATTCTCTGTTAACAACTCAACTTTGTGTTTTTTTATTAGTGCAGATTGTGTTCTTGTAAAAGTAGCCATTCATTTTCCAACCATTTTTATATGTATTATTTTTTTTCCTGCGTTTAAAATGTAGCCATAGCCAAGAAACAAAAATACTCTGGATGGATAATCAATGGTTACTTCTCAATTATCAGGACTTTTTCATGTTTTTTTTACAATGGGTATTTTCTTGTAATGTTATATATTATTGTGGATGTCTGATTTGCCTTTATAATAGCGCCAAGACAGTGGGTGACATTTTCACTTGTCTATGCAGTACCCCAAATTATAAGTCAAATGATCGATAGACGTTCTATGACATAACGTTACTGCAATTCTTTTCAAATTCTGTCAGTTCAGACAAGTAAAATGCATCCCATTGTTTTGATGTGGTTCTGGACAACTTTTGTTTTTAATTTGGAGCTGCAGTGGTACATTGTGATGTGTTTACGCTGCATTGGGTGTTTGGCTGTGCTGCGATTTCTATTTAATCTTGTGTATTACCTGACCAGTAACCCCTCCCTCTCAGTTTCTCTATTTCAGGTCGTTCCCTTCTTGTTTCTTCTTCTGCACTTAATTTCAACACAATTATTTTAATATTCTCCTTTTCTTTAACCGATTTTGTATGTCGGCTTATTTCATACTACACATTTGATGTATTAGGATGCTGTGCTGTTGTTAACTTTATTCATTGTGTTTTATTTGTTTGGTAGATGTACCAGAAGGATCCATACATCCCAGACAACACAGGAAGAATCGGTCACAGCATGAAGCCTGTCACTTACAACCCTCAGCAGGGATATCACCCTGACCAGCAGCCATACAGAGATTACGACCACCCCCCCAGCCGGTATGATGTCAGCAGCAGTGGAGTCAGCAGCGGAGGGGGCTTCCCAGAACCAAAGCACCGAAACAACTATGACTCTAACCTGCCCTACGAGAACAGTGTGCCTCACTACGACCAGCAACAGTGGAACCCGTACAACCAGCCGCTCCCTACTGCCAACTCCCAGGGCTACGACCCCCGCCTGCCATACGGGGACAGCCCTGACCTCCAGTACACCCCCCCTCTCCGCTACGACGAGCCCCCGCCTCAGCAAGGATTTGACGGGCGGCCTCGCTACGGCAAACCGACCGGTCCAGCTCCTGTCCGTTATGATGACCCCCCACCCCCTGTTTCGGGGTCCGACATGCACTACGACCAGGATTCTCACCTGAACGCGTACCCCTCGGCTGCCCACTCCCCGGACCCCACTGCCCAGCGGCCGGCTTATAACCCGGGACCAACAGCACAACAGCAGAGCTACAAACCTCAGCAGTATGACCCCGTTCCTGTGAACTCTGCAAGCAGCCCCACACCCCCTCCCAAAGCAGAGGCCCCCTCACCCTCGCCTGCCGATCCTCCGAATCCTTTCCCCGCCAGAGATCTGCAAGACGAACCCGCCGCCCGGGCACAGTCGGTCCTGACGAGGGTCAAGATGTTTGAGAACAAGCGCTCCGTGTCGGTGGATAGAGTGGCAGTAGAGTCTTCTGGGAACAAGGTAAACTGTTTTGCAGTTAAATTATAAAATGTTGCAATTGTTACTAGTGGGCTTAAATTGTGCATTTGTTCTTTATCTTTTTGCTAAATAAGCAATTTGGAAGTGGATATTCATCATTTGTTATCCTACTGATAAGGTTCATTGCTTTTGCTATTGCAGGCAGCCGATATACCTTTGAAAGCAGGTGGAGTCATCCCAAAAGCAAATTCTCTGAGCAACCTGGATCAAGAGAAGACCTTTAGGTAAGCTTGCCTAAATGCAACTGTAATAAGTCACTTTCATTTCACACCATTGGCCATTGTCCTTTAGTCATTGTAATATATTCTCCTCCTGCTCTGCTCTCACCATCTCAGCCTGTGTTGAACCGTTTTGACTCTCTTATCCCAGAGCCCCAGGGCCTCAGCAGCCTCCATCCATGGTCGCTGATGACATCGTGCGCTCCAACCATTACAACCCAGACGAGGACGAGGACTACTACAGGAAACAGCTGTCGTATTTTGACAGGCTTCAGACCGGTCCTAACAAAGCCCAGCCACAAGCACAAACAAATAACAACTACTCCAGGTGATGCTCAGCCACATCCACATTCCCACACATATAATATTCTAATGAAACATCGTTGGCTTTATCTTCTTAGATTAAATGATCATGCCTTTTCCTTCAATTATCACATCCTTTATGCTTTTATGATGAATGTCTTTGTTCCTTTTTACTTTATATCTTGTACTGATGGTTTTGGTCATGTGATATAGGACGGAGTCAGTGGAGAAACCAAGTCCAGTGGAGAAGAAATACGAACCAATTCCCCAGGTGATGCCTACTCTGCCACCCGCCACACTGCCCAAACCCGCACCTGAAGGTAAACATGTACTGCCTTCTGTCAAAGGAGAGAGGGAATAGCATATTATACAATATTGTAATCACATGAAGATCTATCTGTGTACTGAGAGACGCTGCAGAGCTCTTTGTCTGACCCTCGTGTCTCTCCCACAGCCAACACTGCGCAGGCCAACTTCCTGCCTCACAAGAGCTTCCCTGAGAAGTCTCCGGTTAACGGCACAAGTGAACATCCTCCAAAAACGGCTCCACCAGCAACCAGCTACAACCGCTACACTCCCAAGCCCTACACCACGTCTGCCAAGCCTTTTGCGCGCATGTTCGACAGTCCTAAGTTCAACCACAACCTCCTGCCCAACGACAAGCCGGAGACCGCTCCCAAGGTAGGCAGAGGAGCATTTCAGTGCAGCATTCTAAAGATGGTCAAATAAGTGATGAAACAAGGGGGGGGATATAAGATCTGTAGCCCTCAGATCTAATACTGACTTATCTGCATATTCAATTACTTTTACAATTCTTTACCGGCATTTATCTATGTGGAATTCACTTTTTTTAAACTTAAATGTTGTACATTGTACTTAGAACAGATTGTCCTCTAATAACTGATACACAAGGTATCCAAGTAGCCAAAAGGATTTATTTTTAAATTATTGGAATTGTTAGCAATCTGAAACGGGAAGTATTTTGCCTTCTCTTTCCTCCTGTGTCAATTCTTCATCGTTGGGAGCTATGCACATATCTTACACGTTTTATACCGAGTATGCTGGGTTCACAATGAGAAACTAGTACTAATTTGATTGTTGTTGGTTACATAAATAACCCAAGCTCTTCATATAGCTGCTCTTTTTACCTCCAGTCTAACACACAACCCTCTTGTATTTACCACAGGGCCAGAACTCTAGCACTGTAAAGCCTCAGACCCCCCCCCAGCCCCAGAACATAGACCATGACAGCGGCCTGGACACTTTCACACGCACTATGGACCACCGCTCCAAAAACCAGCACAACAACATCAACGCTGTGCCCAAGGCCATCCCTGTGAGGTAAGAGACTCCGTCCCACTGCAGCTCAAATCAACAGTTTTTGTTGGATATGAGAGTGTGAAATTAAAGGTATATCCGCCCTTTAGCCCCAGTGCCCTTGACGATGATGAGGATGAAGACGAGGGCCACACTGTGGTGGCAACAGCACGAGGTATCTTCAACTCTAACGGAGGCGTCCTGAGCTCCATCGAGACAGGGGTCAGCATTATTATCCCGCAGGGCGCCATCCCTGAAGGTGTGGAGCAGGAGATCTACTTCAAGGTCTGCAGGGACAACAGCATCCTGCCGCCACTCGACAAGGAGAAAGGTAATCAATGAGGAAAGGATCAAAAATAAGTTTTCTTGGGCCACTGAATTTTATCTTTGCTTTTTGAAACCAGTGTCTTAAAGGTCACCTATTATGCAAAATCCACTTTTTCATGTATTTTATACATAAACATGTGTCCCCTCTGTGCAAAGAGATTCTGAAAGTATCAGGAAAAAAGATTCGCTCACTTTTTGTCCTGATCCATTTATATAAAAACCTCTCTGAAAATGAGCTGATCAGATTTTGGCCACTTTATGATGTCATAACGATTTTGTTGGCTTGTGTAACCATTAGCCAATAACAAACCAAGGTAACCCCCCCACCTTATCACCTGAATCTCCTCCTAGAGCACCATTGTGTTCTTTTTAACCAAATATCTCTCAGAGGGGCGTGGGGAGGGGCTCCTTATTTTCATCTAAAGTAACAGACAGAGAATCAGCACTTTTGAAACAGGGCTGAAACAGAGGGGTTTATGGGATGCTGCAATGATCTGTTTGGTATTTGGAGCCAAACACTTCAATCTGAGACTTATAATATATTGATGAAAAACAGTATAATAGGGAACCTTTTAAAGTTGATCTGCTTGTGCTAACTAACAGCTCGTAGATATTCCCAGTGATACGAAGCCTACCAGCACTGTTGGTGGGGGTAGAAATTGCATTTATAATAATAATAATACATGGGATTTTGATAGCGCTTATGCTAATGCTCAAAGATGCTTTACATCAATTCAGAACAGAAACGGTACAAAGAAGAAGAAAAAAAGAACATGAACAGTAGTCCTAATCCAAGTGCATTTGAGACCTGCTTATGTGTTAACTTTAATGGTCTTGAATGTGTGTTTGTGTTCCCAGGAGAGACTCTGCTCAGCCCTCTGGTGATGTGTGGACCTCATGGCCTCAAGTTCTTGAAGCCTGTGGAGCTGCGCTTACCTCACTGTGCGTCTATGACCCCTGATGGTTGGTCTTTTGCTCTAAAATCCTCCGACTCCTCGTCGGGTATGCTGTGCTCTCTCTGTTCTTCTGGGGTCGTTTGGGCTGGCTGTGTGACAATTTTTGGGTTGTGGGTCACTGTTTAATTATTATTTGTAGATTTTACCCCTACTTTTGGTTCTCTTCATTAAAAAAAAATCTACATTTTGGTCACTCTAAACATCTGAGAACCAATCTAGAGGCAAAATCTTTTTTTCATAATTGACTGCTTTAGTTGATTCATTTTCATCATTCACACTAGTTAACTCACAATCACTGTATCACTGGTTTTCTTCATTTGGTGTCCTGATCTAGGGCTCCTCATTGCTTTGACATGCTTTAATTGCAGTATTTCACTCTTGTTTCTCACTTCTTTAATCATTTTAACAAGTTTCTCTACATTCACTTAACATTCATGCATCAAACACTTGGCTGTATAATCATTTTTCCATCAGGTAGAAGTGTAATGCATGCTGCTCTGAGTGATTATTCTCACATAGCCACCCAAATCCCGACCTGAAGAACAGCTTTTATAGATGCTCCGGAAACTGAAACACTGTCATGACCAATAATGCCTGTATTGTATCCTTCAAAACTGTGAAACGTCACCACGTCAAAATATAGCTCTCTAAATGTAGCTTCCATCTTCCTTAGTGTTCTCATTATTCAAGGTTGCTTTCAGGTGACTCAAACATTTATGTTTTTGTAAATGCATCTATAAGACTGGCTTCAGTCTTGGATTGGAAAACAAGGAAGTGGAAATAATGAAATAGTCAAACCATATGCAGCTCCCAGGGGCTGCAGGAGAGGATTCAGGCAAATATACATATTTAGCTGTAAAATATCCATCAGTAAATGGTTATCTTGCTGCTACATCTACTCAAAAATGTAAATCTAATATCTGTTTTTGAGATTTGATAAAGTACAGTATAAAAGATTTCATCCATCTAATAAAGAACTGCCAAGAAATGTCCAAAACCACAGAACAGAATACTGTCTGTAAAGTCGATATTTATATTTAGACTTGAAATGATCAGTAATGTATGGACAAATTGCACAGATCATTACAATGAGTCACAGCCAAGTTAAACCCTTTCAAATATATCACCATGTAGTGTGTCATGTGACTGAGAAAACAGACATTAGGGAAATAACCCTGGTTCATTTGAGCTCCTGCTGTGAAAGTATTAAAGCTAAATAAAAGATCTAATTCCCCCTCTCCCCTTTCTTAACAAAGTCGCTCTCTTCTTCCAAACCAGTGGTGATGTTGGCAGTCGTCGAGATTAGCTGTTAATTAGCCTCATTTTAAGGATGAGACTTTCAGGGCTGAATGAGATGTGAGCTCACTCTGTTGTCCCGCTGAATTGTGGGAGGATTATCGGCCTGCGTCGTAATCCTTTTATTCGCAAGGCCACTCTCTGGCCTCCTCCTGCCCTTCTCTGCTTTCCTTCTCACTCTGCTTCTCTCTATAAACAACTCTCTGCTCCTTCCTCCCTTCTATGGATACTGTGTTATTCTGTAGATGATCACTTTATATACGTAAAGGCTGAAATTAGATACTGTCAAATAACTGTTAACGTTGAACGCCCTACCATTGAATAATGTCCAAATATCTCATATTCTATGCAGTCTTTTGGGTTTGACCATGTCTGGAGATAATGTTTTGATAAGTGTGGTGCCTGTTTCTGTCATACGTATTGATCCCCAGGGCTGGTGGGTAGGTTTGTATTCCATGCTCTATTTCCACATTCCCAGGATGCACAAAAACAAACTGTATTATTATTATTATTAGTATTATCATCCCAGAAAGTGATGCTTCAGCAGGAGACAAAGTCTACTACCCGATGCACAGGAAGCATCGCTATGAACGACGCAGGTTTTATTGAAACTGAATGGCTTTGAAAATGTAGCTTTAATCTTTATCGGTGACCTTAAAGCTCAATTTACTGGACATGTTTAGGAGCTTTCGGACGCTTTTTGTGGTCTTAACCTTCAGATGGAGCAAACTCTTATCTGCTAATAAAGGTCACAAGATACGGCTGAAAGCTTCAGAAAATGTAATTATGTGGACCTCGCACTAAGCCTTGAGAATACACTAGCGTAAAAACTATTAGTTGATTAATTGATGGGTAGTCGGAAAATGATTCAGTAACTATTTTGGCAAATGATGAATCTTTTCCTCAATTCTGAAACAGTCTCTGATTTGCTGCTTTACACTGTTAACATATACACTGAATACAAGTGGGTGGATTTGGACAATAGGAATGTGAACATGGCACATTAGAAACTGGTAGGCTAAATATTTTAACGTCCAAATGATTAACTTCAAGAAGATTAATCAATAGCTAAAATGACGGTAAGTATACACACAATGCGGTTTGGGAAGCAACGCTAAACATGAAAACTTCACAGGGTTCCTTTAATGTCTTCATAGTTATTATAGTCCGGACTGTTTTTAACATACTGAGTTGTGACCTTTTGTTTTAATGTTATGTGAGCAAAAGTTATCCGAAAAAGATTCCCAACTACTCTTTCAGATTTCCTCGCAGTTATTGCTGACATTTTCAACAATGCTGAATGAAAGTCTCCTTTGACTTTCGATTACCGCTCTGACAACTTTACATGTGACCTGTGCTCTCCTCGCCTGAGGAACCAAAGGACAGTCCCACTTATTCGTGTTAGGTGCTGCTTCACAGGCAGACATCAAAGAAATGATAAGGCAGAAGCAGCTGGCTATTTGAAGTTCTGAAGATGAACGCTTTGGCACACTTGATTAGTGTCTCTCGGCTACTTTACCTCTCTCATAGAGGCTGTGAGACTCTAAAGGCAGGCTGGCAGTGAGTAGTTTTGTTTTTCATTGAGCCAGCATCCAATACAGCTCAAAACTAAAGCTACACCAGAGGCGGGAGCAAAGGATGTTTGCAGACAAGGTTACTTCTAATGTGTAGTTGTTTTAGAGTTGATCTAAGAAGGAAACAAAGTCGAGTTAGTTTCACACCACGAAAGAGATGTCAGCAAATAGGGTCAGGCTCCCTCTCAGTCCCAATGAATCAGTAACGCTGCACCTCTGACTGCATTTATATAGCAATTTTATTTTCACAAGGGATCAAACTGTCAACCCTGTTACAATAAACCTAGAAGGAAAAAATAAATGAGTTATGAGAGTCCAACAGTATGTGCTCATGAGAAGGCAGTGACTAAACGCTGATCAAATCTTGATCAGTTTCAGGTTGAAGAAAGTCCTCTGCTCACATGTACCTCTTCATTAGGACCCTGAGTTTAGTGCTAGAGTCAGAGTCAGTGTTTATATGGTCACTTTTAGCATACACGGTATCGATGGAGCGGTGCCGAGCTGGCTCTGCTTACTCTGATTGATTAGTGGAACGTTCCTCTTGGCACAGACCTGTATGTTTATAATTGTAATTAAACTCGGACCTCACAGTAACGGAGGCTTAATTTGAGGCCGGCAAGAGGCCATGGACATTCAAGAAAAATGTGAAATCACTTTGACTTGCTTTTATAGGCCACCAAGCCATGTGAGATTACTTCACATGGCTCGGAGACGATAGATACGATCAAGCTCAGTGCTGTACAATAGATTTTTCAGATAATAGTGCTTGTGAAATGCGTTACAGCTCATTTTTCAAAAGCAGCTGTTATAACTCATCGCCCCCCCCCCCCATCTGTCTGCAGGTGACCCAAAAAGCTGGCAGAACAAGTCTCTCCCCGGAGACCCCAACTACCTGGTGGGAGCCAACTGTGTCTCTGTGCTCATCGACCACTTTTAAGGACGGACCATCAGCTGTGATGTTACTGAATGTGGAACCATGGGGATAAATAGAAGAGGATGGACACACGTAAAAAACACACACACACACACACACACTAACAGATGCACTCCCAACACACACACACTACATCATGGAGTATGAAGAAGACCCAGTGCTGTTTACTGCACACATGGATGAAGGCGAGACACTGATGAGCGTTACAAGCTGTTCTTTAAACTCCCACCCCCCCCCCCCTCCCCCAGTTATGAAGTTTTGATGTGAAATGAAACCATGGATGCATGCCACCGAGGATTGACACTATATATCTATATATATATATATATATATATAGTAAAGTGATGTTTAATGTAATTTTTACATGAATATAGTTGGATGACTTTTGAGGCAGCATACATGCTTCAAAAATCTGTGTTGGTATATTTATACTATATATGCATACAGTATATATAGTACTATAGAAAAGATAAACAAAAAAAATGTACTCGTAAATTCAAATACCAGTCAACATCTTTATTTTCAGTTCAGGTGACTAAATACAAACATGTATCTCCATGTTTTCCCACACTAAGGAAATGTAATGAAGGTTTGAGACGTGAAGTTAAGAGGTTCAGATATCTGTTGAAGGAGATGGTAAAACATGAGCTGGAAATAAACCCAAGCAGCACACTTTGCAGAGACGTTCTTCCTTTACGCTTCCTTTTTCTACAGTGATATCTTGTAGCTTAACTTCCTACAGAGAACCACGTCTCTCCTTCCAGCCTGAGGGAGATCTATGCATGTTCTTTACTCAGGTCCAGCAATCTCTCTCTTTCTAGCTCTTCTCCTTTTCCTTCTTCGCTCTGTGCGCTCTTGCACTCACACACAAATAAGCAGTGATGCCTTATCTGCAGATTATTCACTTTTCATTAAGAGAGAAAACCAACATAAGTTATGATAAATTATGGTATACTGTCATTTGTTTTGCCATTCGTCTGTGAGCCCACTGTATAAATGAACTTGGGATGTAGCACACAATAACAGTTTATAAAGGATAACAAAGGTATGCTCTTCTTTTATCTGCTATGCATTACTTAAAAAAGAAAAAAAACTGAAAAGAAGTGGCTGTAAATAAAACTAGCATATTGCCTTGTTTCTTTTGTTTGTAAATGAACTTTTTGTATGTCTTTCTTTTTTGTATAAAACTTAGAGAAAACATGTTTTTAAAAGTGGAAGAAAGTAAACGTGGTAATCTTTGTATTCTGGATATACCCTCGAGCCTTGGAACTTGTAACCTAACAATAATACATCACGTCTTTTCTACCAATATATTCACATTATGTTAAGGTCACACACAAAAAAGGTATTTTTACGGCTCTGTAAAGGATCAGAAAAGTGCTTGGGCTAAAATACATTTAAAACTTGTTCTTTTAAAAAGGGTGTGCTCTCAAAACCCCTCATTGATTTGTGATACTGGATGCTGTATCGTGTGCCCTTAAATGTATTTTTGTACTAATAGACGATATATGATGTATGGCACACCAGTACCATTTTTATTTTAGATATAACACGGCTTTAATTGGATATTAGCTCTTCACGTGTGGCTGACTTTTTTTTCTCCTCTGCAACACAATTTTAAGTATACCACTGTATTAATAAATAAAATCATTTTTAAAGTAACTGTGTGTAAGGACGTTTTGATTTGATGATGATTGATGTTTTCTTTACTTTCACCTCAGCTGATGCACATAAGTTATTCAGGATTGCAATGAAACAAACATTTAAGAGTATATTTGTATTATTTTTAGAAGAAAATATTGCTTGTTTATCAATAAAATATCAGAATATAGTGAAGTGTTACAAATAATTATCTAGGTGAATGTAAAATTACATGTTTGGACCATAAACTCAAACATGTCCAGTTTAATGCTCCATAAGAATAAATAACAAGTTCCTCTTCAAAGAGCTTGAGTCAGTACATGTTTTTAATAATTGAAGATGTAATTGTGTTATTTAACGCAATATATATATTTTTTAATCTAGATGTTTGGCTGTATCATTTAATTAATGGACATCATGCTCAGGTTTCACAGCTAGGTGGTGCCGTTTAGCTCTGAATGAGTGCTTCACCAGGTCAGAAATACAGAAGTCCTTCAGATGTGATTTTAATGTATTTCAATATTTCTACTCTAATTGTAGTCTCTACGGCCTGCTGTGATAAAAGGAATTTGATGTGGAAAGAAAAGCAACATATTTTAGTGATAAAAAGCCTTAAGCCATTATTTTAAAAACGACACAGTCCCTGTCAATGTGTAAGAAATTAATGGTTATGATGAAACATCTGAGCAATTCAATTAGCCTTACAGCTAGCTTATTAGCTACCATTGGTTCTCAAAAACAAAAATATACAAAGATCCTGCTGGGATGAACTTCTTAATCTCATTTCCACAAGAATGCATTTAATTATGCATCACAACATTGATGGGAAAACTAGTTAGACTTCGTTTTACTAAAGGTACACAAGTATTAGCATTACAAAATGCTTTACGTTTTTATAGTAAAAGTTCTCATAATGCAGAATGGCCCAGAAAAGTATATCCTTCAGGTCTAATATTAATAATGTGTAAGCTAGAGGAGGGGCTAACATCCTGCCAGCTTAATACATCCTAATACACAATACTTAATTCGGTGATTTTGTGTTAAAAGAAAAAATAAGACTCACACACTCAGTGGCAAAAATATATATATATCCTCCTGGGACCCAGCCCATTGAAAATGTCAAAACAAATATTGTTGGATAATTGTAATTGTTACCATGAAAATCATATATGTTCTTGTTTATTAACATGTGAGGAACTATATAATTAGTTCTGAAAGCAATTCAATAATTAAAGTTTTCAAATAACAGCCCTTTTATAAATGTCCATTCTTGGACGTCAGGACCATCTTCATGGACTCAATATTGTTGCAGGAGACGGAACTGAAGCAGACATTTTCTGTACCAGATAGTTAAGGGAGATTCAGATTTTGATCTCTCAGATGATGAGAGAGATGAGGATTTCACACCTGGGATAGAAGAGGGTCAAGAAGAAGGGGGGAAATATGCAGGAGGCTCCATGAGCACACAGACACAGACAGAGAGACAGATAGGGACGAGCTGGAAAGACATGGCCCTCTGGGCCAAGAGAGTAGCACGTATGTCTTATTGTTGTTTTCATTTTAAGTGGAGCCATACAAAATGAGAATTGTCTCAGGAATGCAAGCTTTGTTTCCATGAGCAGGTCAAATGGAGACCACATCCATAAAACTAGTCAAGATGACCGTACAGCCCGTGCTGACTGGAGTCAATGAGGTACTTTTCCAGCACATCGACTACAAAGTCTTTGAAGATCTGGAAAGATTCACCAAAAACCAAACTACTTTTTTATTGACCAAATAAACAGCAATGTTCAGATCAATTACTTATTTATGTTTTAAATAAAGGTGAATGTATTCTTGTATTAATATGACTCTATAACCATAATACGTTACATAGTCTATCTGTTCATTTTGGCTGTCTTTTCAAACTAATATGGTCCCGACGTCCTCTACAGTGGGCATACTGTAACATTTTTAAATAAAATAAAATAAAAAAAGTCTAAATTGCAAGATGTTTTTTTAACCCTAAATAGGTAGGAAATCACAAAAAAAAGGAAATTAGAAGACACTTTTTTTCCTCGGCTCCCAGGAGGATATAATATTGGATTTCAAATTGAATGGAGCAGAAATCTAAAGAAGCATAGGCTACATTGGAAAATATTCAAGCAAAGCAGGAACCTACCTTCAACTGTTTAAGTAGCCTGTGAATATTTGTACTTTTCAGCACTGATTGAGCCTGAACGAATGTGAACCTGACATGAGATTTTGTAATAATCACTAATTATTTAATAATGTGCCCAGTCTAATTTTAAGAAGCTCTTCAGGCAGGATCCTGAAGAGGAGGAGTGTCGCATTATTCACTATACCTGCAGCCTGAAGGACAAACAGAGACATTGTTCAATGACAATGCAGTCGATGATGTCCTGATGCTGCAGCTGGAGGTTTATACGGTCACTTGAAAAAATGTTTACACCCACAAGAACTTAAACATATTGTTTTTTAATCCTGATTACATGATGAATTACACTCTTCTTCACGCTTTAAAAACGTGAACTCCTTTACTAAAACAAAATAACCTTATTAATGTAGGCTATGCTCACGTTTTCCTCCACTAATACCTCACCAGCAGCGAGTAACAAATCAGGCGAAGGTTTTTGATGGTGCCTGATAGTAGAGAGCCCTCCTCCTCCCCTCCTCCACTCTCGTAGTAAAAACACACTCCGTGCAGCTCGCCGCCATGAAGACGCACAGAGTGGCACCTCTCCAATACGCAGTGTGCATCTCCTGTCCTGGCTGCGAGAGCTGCTGTCGTCTGTGAAAACCTCACACAGAGGAAACGCTGCTCGCTCACAACTGCGGATATTTAACTAGACACCTAAAACCCCGATTATTTCTGCCTTATTTCAACGTTTTTTCTCTGTTTAATCGTACAGGAGTGCACCTTTCCTTTTATTCGCGTCTTAACGAGGCTTCATCTCTCGCTTTAGAGGAGTTGGAGAGCCTGCAGAGGCGAGCATGACAGCGTGACAATGGTGCAAGGCTGGCTGACAGCAGGATGATGCGCTTTTGCCCTTTTGTGTTTCCACTTTTGAGGAATGGGCTCTTTGCCGGAGCAGACGCCGAGAACCCCAGCTCTTTTTTTGGTGCGTTTTGACTTGAGAATCCTCATACTTTGGAGGAGTGTTATGGTAAACATCTGCTGGCTCGCACAGTCCGCGCTTTCCTCACCTTTCTCTCCCCATCCGCCGCAGAGCAGCTCTAATTGGAGCGACTCCGAGCATCCTAATTGACGAGGATCATCCACACCGGATACTGACCTCCAGTGTACCGTTAACCAGCGCACTGCAGGAAACTCAACGACTCGGCTGTCTGTGGATGTAATTTCGTTTATTTGTGCTGCTGAGTTTGTCGTACCCCTCAGTGACCATGCCGGTGAGCGCGCTGCACCGCGGCGGCAGCAGCATGGGCGGCCCGGGGTCCCTGAGCCCCGCGTCGCTGTCCCGCAGCCTGTCCCGGCTGAGGGAGTACCGGACCCGGACCAGGATCATGCTGGCACTGGGGGTCTCTCAGATGGTCCTGGGGAGTCTCATCCTGGCCGTCAGCTTCGCGGCTCTGGCTCTCACCACCTCCCCCAGAGTCCGCCACTCGTGCCCCTTCTGGGCAGGTTTCTCTGTGAGTACATTACACACTGCTGCGTCTATTTGGTGGCATTAAACATGATGTGAGTTGTTTATGTTGTAAAGAAGAAGAAAGGTGGTGTAGCAGCTAATTCCTTACAGATTGGTAGTTTGCATCAATACAGTAGGCTATCAATAATCTGTATGCATAATGATCTCAACGTGGTGTCCATGACAACCTATATCGAAACTATAAGCTACTTGATTTGTGTTATGTTTCAAAGAGGTTCCGTTCTTCAGTCTGAAGAGAGCTGAACTAATTGGGGTGCCATCGCCATCGCCAGGAAGAAATTAGGTTTCTGAATGAATTTTTGTGACAATCTTAGACAATTCGTTTTGAGCTAATCATCAGTGATACCACACACACACGCGCGCGCACACGCACACACACATATATTGTCAAAGAGCAGGGCATTTATTTTTGAATGCTTTACAGTGCTCCTTGGTGTGTACAGTATAGAGCATGTTATGTTTGAGATGTTGTTTTTCATGTTAAATTTTCATGGTGTTTTACGTAAATATGTATGAATGCACACACATCCCTGATTTTCTGCCACAGACCCGAAGCAGGGCTGCCCCATTAATTATAGACGCAGCAGGGTAGAGTGCAGGGTTGAGGGGAGGTCTGTGGCACAAGGGCCATCTGTGTTTGTGTGTGTGTGTGTGTGTGTGTGTGTGTGTGTGTGTGTGTGTGTGTGTGTGTGTGTGTGTGTGTGTGTGTGTGTGTGTGTGTGTGTGTGTGTGTGTGTGTGTGTGTGTGTGTGTGTGTGTGTGTGTGTGTGTGTGTGTGTGTGTGTGTGTGTGTGTGTGTGTGTGTGTGTGTGTGTGTGTGTGTGTGTGTGTGTTGCTTTTCATAATGCAGTGATGGAAATATAAAGGGTCAATGAATGGGTGTTGTTGTAAGAGAGAGAAATAAAATGAGGGGGAGAGTGAGGGAACATGTGTCAGTTCCCTTCTGTGTGGGAGTGTATAGTTACAGGGAAGAGAGGTAACCACAGGGGTCAGAGGGCAAAGGTCAATGCACATTCTTGATCGATTCCTCAGGCTGATTGGAGGTCTGTCAGCCTGTTGTGTTGAATCTTACCTCCTGCTTTCTTTGTGCACCAAAACCTATACCTTTGTCCCCTGACTGTGTGTTCGTTATTTATTGTGTCATGCACAAACAACAAATATACAGCTGCAGAGAGGCACAAAATCTCCTCGACCAAAACAATTATTGATTACACTGCAAACAAGAGCAACACATGCCCAAAAAAAGGCTCTCTTCTTAAACATAGCGAAAGCATTTTCTTTCAAATATTCATCAATCCATACAAATCTTCTCAGAGATGAATGGTATTTTATTAAAAGTTTAGTGATGTTCTT